ACCCACTCGACCACCTGGCAGCTGACCGGACCGTTTCTCATTTTGAATTTACTCGACATGGCACAGCCCGTCAATGCGAGATTGTTGCGAGTATCGGTCCTCACTCGTCCCAGCACTAACCTCCAGGGATATGACTTGATTGGAAAGTTTCACAAGCTGATAACTTTGTTTCATCGGAGAAATGGAAGATTTGATTTCTTTCGATTATGAAATCGTCTTGTAAATGAGGCATAAACTGAAAAGCTAGGAAACCCATTGACCGAGTGGGTAGTATGCTTGCGTTCTATCCATGAGGTACCGAGTTCGATCCCCAGTTGGGTCGATGGATTCGCACTGCTGATGAGACCCAACCATGTCAAAACAGCTGTACAGTGCTTCCAAGCTTTTCAACTCACGCCTCATTGGCACGACGAATTCATCGTCAGAAACAGAATTATTTAATAATAATAACCTCATTCCCTGCACGACGCTGTTTTGGTTATCTTACCCTCATGCCCATTGAGGGATGAAGCCACTGACATTAATCTGTTTGAGAGAAATGCACCTTAGAAATTATCGTTTGGTGGAATAAGGTTTTATGTTTGAATTGAGAAAAGGTAGGCAGCCTGAGTGAGGCTCGAATCTATGCATGGCTGCTATCTGCACTTTTGTACTGTGCACACCCTGTCACGTGAGCTACAAGGTCCGACCGATATCACCGGTTTTTCCATCGAGGCTACTGAATGTTCCATAATTCAAACATGAGATTGAAAGCAGTCCTTTACCGACTAATAGGTGGAATAAACCAGATAAATTATATTGTCAAGCATACTACCAGGATATCTGTCACCAAACAGTAATTGATTGGCAGGAGAATTCTTCATGTGTATCCCGAGTCTGCTGAATATGACACGCTCAGTGAGTTGCGCCCAAGGCAGACTTTTTATCTTGATTTCGTACCGCTTCGAACGAAGTGTTACGGATAAATCGGTTCGTTAATTGAGTTTCTTGTCTAGGTCTCGTTCGTCGAACGTTCACTGAATTAGCAACTATCAGTGTCTTCCAGGGACTGTGGAATTTCGTTTGTGATGGTCAATCAAGAGCACTGAAGTGTTTCAAAATTGTGGACATGGTATGTGAACAACGCCTTAAGTCTGTCGTTGGATTATATTATATTATAATTGTTATTTATATTGTTTATATAAATTCCTAGACCATCAGACAAAACTTTAAGTGGAAAGTAAATCGGTATACTACTCGTTGTAGCAATGAGGCATCCTACCACACTGAACCACAGTTACAGCTTCAAAACACGCAGCCATTGGGAACAGAACCACGATTGTTTAAAATACAGTGTATATATATTTGCAGAGAGTTGGCGCTTTCGGTAGACCGCAGATAGCATATTTGTAGTTCTCTCGTACAATCATATGATGGCTCACTATTTTATGCGAGATTGGTCACATTCATCTTTTCTCACTCATACTAATTGGTTCATTGTTCCCCATCAGACAATTGCTCGAACAAAAGGATGCTACCCACCACGCGGCAACTACACAGAATTCCGAGAGCCAGCGATTCGTACAGCAAGTCGCCAGGCGTTTGGGGTTGATGAAAACTAATCCGGACTACTCAGAAATATTGGAACAGGTAAAACACTTCCGTGTGTACGAGCGCGTTGTTCAGAGCTAACATCAATTTGTTTTTGAATAAATCCGAAAAACACAGGCGTTTTGTAAGGCTGTGATGCCTCGGTCGTGTGCAAAGATACGACAGAAGCGGCCTCCTGATACCCTTGATCGTTATGACCATCAACATTATCATCCGGGTCCATCGATTCATCATCATCCGAATCATCCGAATCATCATCATCATCATCTGAATCATCCAAGTCAACCTCATTATCATTAACGTTATGAAAAGTGGATCATATCCCGTGGATTAGTTCATTGGTTGAGTGACTTTTGGTGGCCGTTTGATTCAGTTCAGTATTCCTTAATGTGATCCCCATTCGGGAAAGTTCTGCATTAAGAGCAAGGATATATCCGTTCTTGAGGTCTTTCGGTGTTTTGATTTCCATGTAATTGTTTCGGACCGGGGTCTGTAATTATTATAGTGTTTTGACTTTAATAATCTTCAAATATGCTCATGATGTGCTTCCACGTCAAGTCACGGCGAAGCAATCTGACGTGATTTGTCAGTTATTTTCGAATCAGTCTGATCTGTACCTAAATGCCTTCAATGTTTTGAACTATATGAATAGTCGTTTTGCAGTCTGCGAGGTAATTAAAATCTGGATCAGCAAATCTCTAACCGTCACCTGAGATCCTAGAAGTTATCACCACAACCTGATAATATTTCAACAAGTTTCTCTCTTCCTTTTCACAAGACATTTTAGACTGCGTCATACAATCATTTATCCTTTTCAGTGCGTCAGTAAATTACTCCGCTACTGAGCAATTACCAAAAGCGGAGAAGAAAATGCTTTTTATAAAACTTTCAATTCAAGGTGACGTATTCACTGACAGGGTCGGTAAATATTTATCCGTTGCAATGGAATCCACATTAGATGCCGCTCAGCTAATATGCGTGTTTTCTACGTAAACAAGCATCCAATACTACAGCAAAGTTAAGCTACCCATGTTAACCTCATCTGTTGTGGTCTACCAATTCAAGTGTACCTGTGGTGCGATTTATGTATGTCGAACGACAAGGTAGTTATCTCAGCGGATCAAAGAACACAATCCATGATGGCTCAAACAGGGTGAGAGTGGAGCTGTATCAAGCTCGACGGGACACTTGGTTGACAAGTGCTCAGCATTCACAATCATTTATCGAATCTCGCCACACCTCTCGAGAGCAATACGGTTTCAGAAGTTAGCAACTGTAGAGGAAATGAGCATCCGACTCATAAAGCCTGAGCTGTACGCACAACAAAAACTGATTCAAGCTCTCAAACTCCCTTAACCGAGGGAAGAGAAAATCGCCTGTCCACATGACCATGACGTAACATAGCGACCTTTTGCTACGTAGTCCAAACAGCGTTTAAATTTAGGGTTTTCTTTGGCTCATTACCAAATACATGACTCATTCAACTTTCAGTTTGACTCTATTGAAATTGTTTCATACCAATGTGATTTTAAAGGCTTGGGAAGGAATTCACCAAAAACATGTTCGTTTACAATGTGTTATTAACTAATGGGCATATTTCGTGATTCTTTTTCTATGCCTTTAAACATCCTGACCACAAATTTGAATTATGAGCCCACAAGTTAACTGAGAAGATCCAATCCGCCTGCATCCGGTAGTGACATCAATACAAACTCGCTTCCGCGCGCCAGTTTTGGCATGCGGGTATATGATGTGGTCTGCTCACCGATTAACCACCTTTGAAGAACGCGACTGGCGAGAGTCGAAAGAGTGACGCCAAGATAAAGGTTAAAAAACTAATTTATTCAGCCGAATTGGAGTAGATCTTTAGTGCTTTTGTGGTCAGTATCGAGAGTTAGAATATCGAATGTACCGAATGCTTGTACTTTTTATCGATACAATCAGAGACGGAGAAGTGTGATTGGATTTTTGAACTTGTTTTCTTCCCACATGATCAAACGACTCAGAGTGAGACCTGTGAATCTTCAGGCTTTGAGATGCACCTAGTAACAGTTATCTAATTCTTGAGACAGGGTCTCACGGGTGCAGAGCTCAATCCCCGGCCAAAATGATTTAAAAGAGACAAGGGGTTGACTTTGTTGCGAGGAACGAGTTCTATCAAAGTTTACGCTAGAGGCGGATATATTGAAAAATGTTATCTGCTTGGAGCTATATATCTTTCAAAAAGTATCAAATCATATAAAAATAACGACCGGGTACATAAAAGGTGGCGAAGTGCTAAGCATGTGCTTTCCTCATGACTATAATGTTTGCATGGTTGTTTCCGGCTCCTCGGATCGACCAAGGCGCTAGCTTCCGGGTTTAACCAGATGAACGTGGCTAAGATGACATACGTGTGATACAGTAAGACGGAACTCAGAGTCTGCAGTCTTTTGAAACCCGGTGTTCAGCCAATCAGATCATACATCCTTTGAACGAC